AGGGGGAAGAAAGATATAGATACCCGTGGTACCACCATGCTTGCGGTCTGCACAATCCAATGCTAACACACTTTTCCAGTAGCCACAGTTCCTCTTATACAACGGGAAAAGGTGATAATCCTTATAATGGGGAGTATATAGTAGGGCAGCAGTATCTGGGCCGGCCAGTGACAGGCTGGAAGAATTAAAGCCTTTAGAAAGAATGGGGATGTTTACATTGTGAGAGGTTTGTTCGTTTTGGCAAGGCACAGTCAATTGTGCATTATCTGTTCGTAAGGCAGGTGTGCAGCTTAAGGAACAGTTACAATTCAACTTTTCCATTAGTGTAAGACTTCAAGTATTGTTTCTGTTTCTTTTTCCAAAACTGACATCTGTTTCCGTATACAGTCTGCTTAACCAATGCCTTGGTCTGCCACTCCTCAAGAGTGATTTCTGTACCTGGAACAGCTGCTTGAGCATCACTGAAACTCATCAGTGATTCTAAATGTGGTTGAGATACCACTTATTCTCTCATTTTATATAAAATGGTTACTCTGCCATAAAAAAAATAAAAGTGGGATGGAAAGAGTTTTGAGGGTGCCGCATATTTTTTGCCTTGGTCTGCAAAAGCTTTTTGTTTGCCTTATGGGTGAATGTATGTGTCTTTCTCCTTGTCTGCTTTCCTTTCAGAAAGCTGAAGGTTTTAACATGAGCATCCCAATGCCAGGTCACCCTGTGAATTTTTCTGAAACAACCTTGCAGCAAGCTCAAAAGGATGTGGCTCAGCTGGAAAAGCTGATTGATGGTCATGATGTCATCTTTTTGCTAATGGACACCAGGGAAAGCCGATGGCTTCCAGCTGTCATCTCAGCCAGCAAGAGAAAGGAATTGCATGTACATTTCCCACAGGCCATGCTATGGGGGGGGGGGGGGGGGATTGACTTGCAGTGACTTTTCAAAAGCATTTTCACTAAGTGTACAGAGTTTTTGAATGTCAGATCTTTTACGGACATGCAGTGTTCTTCATTGCATCAGACTTGGAATTTTAGACTGA